ACCATTTGCGAGCCAATGTTTAGACGAAATAACAGGACTATTCAATGGACGACCCCCGCATTATTCGATGGACCACTGCGATTTTCTTTTCCCAATACCGCTACACTTTGTATCGCAATTTTTTACGCGATATTACACCGATAGAAATATACCCCATTTCAGATTTTTATCCTTAACGTCCAAATGTCCCTCAGAGTTCCAGCCTGTCCATCTTTAACAGGCAGCCAGTGGTGTTAACATCCAAACATACACTCTGAATTTTCGTTTTATTACAGTGTTTTCTGGCTGTTTCTGGAAAATTATACCAGGCCCAGGAAAGGTTCTAGTGCCAAACGTGGAAGGAAGGTTGAAAATTGTTGGTTCGGTTTTGAAGGGTTGTTATGGTAACCCCTTTAAACTATGCCAGATTGTGGAATCCATTTTTTTTGCCTCAATACTTCAAAGATTAAGGAAATGTGTGCACAATGGTTGAACTGCAAACCTTTAATTGATGAAAATCCACCCTGCACACAGCTGTTGCCAAGCCGTTGGCTGGTGACCTATTCAATGACAATGTTGTGGCCCATTTTAGACAAATCGTAAAGGAACGGGAGGGACAGAGCTCTATGGACAGATTTGTTGTGCGACAGAGGTCCAGTGACTCTCAAGCTGGTCCTAGTGGCATTAAAAGAAGAAGGAAGTAACCCCGGAAAAGGACTTGCTACCTCAAGTCGTAATGGAAGGGGATTCCCCTTCTAAACAGTAAGAAGATAATGCTCTCCCCTCCTCCCATCCCATCAATCATCACCAGATCTTCAATAAAAGTAAGTGTCATGTAATTGTGCATGCCTTTTTCAGTTTGTGTGTATTAAAATTAACATTTCATGTGGTAAAAAAAAATTTTTTTCATACTTTTGGGCGTCTTGCACGGATTAATTTTATTTCCATTATTTCTTATGGGGAAAATTCATTCGCATAACGATTATTTCGCATAACAATTATCCCTCTTGCACGGATTAAAATCGTTAACCGGGGGTCCACTGTATTTCCGAAATGGACGACTTTCAGGCCAGACGATTATTGAGGGACCACTGTATTTTGTAAGTTATTTCTTTTTCAATACTACACAATAACGGCATAAACACTGTTGTCATTGCTTTGTTTACGGAAAATATTTACACAAACGATATGAAATGTTGTTTATTACTATTTTTCTATATTTTATATACACTTATACAGTCACAGGGAATGTTTCTAGAAGTTCTACAGCCTGTGGAACTCTTTGAAACATGGTGTCATGCACAGTGGTGTTTTACACTCCTCACACACAAAACGAGTGTCTCTGCATTGTTGTGGGCGTTTTTTTGTATGTGCACAGACGTAACACCTCTTCTGAGCCTTTTTCTTGAAAGGCAGTTTTACCAGGAAGTGATCACCATGCTTCAAACGAGAAGGAAGTTGTTGAAAATTTGGTGGTCGGTCTATTGCAGGTGTTGTTCCATGGTACTTGAATACTATTTGTCTGATGACAGACAAATAGAATTCCCTGTATGGTGGTTTGTTTCTGGTCCTCATCTTATACATATTATAAGCATTCAGCATGGAAATGTCCAGAAGATGGAAAAAGAGTTTATGTACCGCTTATAACTCTTGCGAACACAATCAGCAAACCCAATCCGCATGTCACATTTGTCCACTGAGCACATATTGAGGGTGTAGTCCATCACAGCTGCAGGTTTTAAATGGGTTCATTGCTTTCTCTATGCTGCCTGCCAGTGTCTGCCATTTCATTAGGGTGAACTGATGACAACAGTGTGACATCTCGTTTGTCATGCCACTGAAATGCCATGATGTCATTGGCAGCAAACGCCTGCACCTCACCTCTATGAGTGCCAGCGTCAAACCTGGGCATATGTTTCCGATTTGCACGCCCTGTGCCACACACATCTGTCATGTTCACTCGCAAAGAATCACTGAGTGTGGGGCTTGTGTACCAGTTATCTGTATATAATATATGCCCTTTACCAAGGTATGGTTCTATCATTGTTCTAACCACATCACCAGAGATGCCCAATAACTTCCTGGTATTTTGCAATGTATAACTTCCAGTGCACACAGTAATATCCAATACCAGACCACTGTAACAGTCACAAAGCACAAACAACTTTATACCAAGGCGTTTCCTCTTGCTTGGTATGTACTGCTTGAAAGAGAGTCTTCCTTTGAACAGAATCAAAGACTCGTCAATTACAAGCTTCCTGAAGGGATAAAGATGCATATTGAATTTCTCTTTCAGATACACAAAGACATGCCTAATCTTATATAACCTGTAAAGTAAAAGGACACAAGTGCAACTAATGTGACATTTATTGTGGCAACGTTTCGCTCTCCAGGAGCTTTATCAAGCTTGATAAAGCTCCTGGAGAGCGAAACGTTGCCACAATAAATGTCACATTAGTTGCACTTGTGTCCTTTTACTTTACATATTGTCGGTAATTCTACCAACTTTATTACTTATATAACCTGTCGTTTCTGTCAGGCCTGGTTTTGTCCGAGAAGTGAAGCATACGTAACAGTAGCAAAAATCAATTCACTGGCATTATATCACTGAAACCTGGGGTTGCAATCAGGCGGTCTGTTGACCAGTATGATTTCACTTTGTGCGTATACACATGTGGCATAAGCATTATTGTGGCAAAGAAATGATACATCTCAGCCACAGTTGTCTCCTTCCACTGGTGTAGACGTGATTTTGGTGAAAGTATTGTGTTTGCCATGGTGTACTCGTAGTATGTGTTGCTTTCCATGACAATACTTTCCATCAGGGGTTCGTCAAAGAATAACTGGAAACATTCCAGTTCAGTGGCATTGTTTCCCAGTGTACAACATGGCCGTATTTCACTTTGGCTGCCATCAAACTGGTGGGGATTTGGAACAAAATTGACAGTTTCCTGCCAATCCCAGGTGTGGTCTGCTAGTGGGTACTGGACAATGACAGGTGGTTGTGGTTGTGGAGGCTGGTGTGGTGGGTGGATGGGGGATGGTGGCCTTTGTTGTAGATCAGCTGAGGCAGCGGCATGGGTGGCAGCATAGGTCACTGCTGGTGCCTCACGGCCGGTACCACCACTGCCACCACCATGCACATTTTCCATCCCAATTGCAACAGTATCATCGTCATTTTCACTGTCAGTTCCTGTTGTACAGCCATGGGATGTACCCCGAGATGTACTCCTTCCCCTTGGAATAGCATATGGCACACTACCAGAGTGCATATATCGTCATATATACTGACGCTTCCCTGGGGAATATTGCACTTAACTATCACTACTGGAACTAGTTTGAAGAGTTTGTAGTTCATAATCACTATCATCACAAATGCTCACATCTGAGTCTGGGATTTGGGAAAATAAGAGTTTCCTCTTTGATTCTGGTACAACTGAGCGTGAACAAGACGGCCCAGCACCAGAGGTGGAAGGCTGAGGGTCGTCTGGGTTTTCCTCACTATTACTGATATTATGGTCATTAGTTTCGGTCAAAACCTCACCAAAACCTTGAAACTCATCTTCACTGGCACTTCCATCTGTATTAGAACTGTCACTGGGGAACAAAAGTGTCCCAATTTGCCGAGGAGTGAGGAGCTTCTTACCGTGAGGCATGGTGGACAAGGTGTACTAATATGGCGTTCCCACAATGCGCCACTGGGTCCCAGATTTTTTTTCTACTGCGCACACCCACCACACAGACCCATTCTCTCACATCTAGGCCTACCAGCCTTTCCCGCGAGATTTGAAGGCACTAGAATTTATGCATACTAGTACATCAAAAACCCTGGCGTGTAAGCCGTACTAGTATGGCCAAAACCCTGAAAGGGTTAATCACTGAAGAAGGCACCTTCTCCCCTCTCTCTTTCTCCTCCTCTGAAGCAGTTTCCTCAGTTGTGGTCTGTTGCTGTTCCAGATGACGGTCTTGCAGCTCTTCAGTGGTTAGCTCTTCCCTGTGGTCCTCCACCAACTCTTCCACATTCTGGCCACTCACATCCAACCCCATGGACACACTACATTCCACAACAGGCATAGGGTCAACAGGGTCAGCCTCAAACCCTTCAAAAATCCTTCTCTTGCACACATTCTGGCCACAAGCAGAGTTCAAAGTCCTGGAAGTCACTTCCTGCCAAGCCTTACCTATAAGGTTTATGCAGTAGAGGATATTGAAGTGATCCCTCCAAAATTCTCTTAGGGTCAATTCAGTGTCCGAGGTCACTTCAAAGCACCTTTGAAACATTGCTTTCATGTAGAGTTTTTTGAAGTTAGAAATGACCTGCTGATCTATGGGCTAGAAGAGAGGAGTGGTGTTAGGAGGCAAGAACTTCACTGTTATAAAACTGAAGTCCCTAAACAATTGGTCTTCCAAGTCTGGAGGATGAGCAGGAGCATTGTCCGGTACCTGGAGGCACTTGAGTGGCAAGCTGTTTTCTACTTTCTTTGCCGGGATGGAACAGATTGTTGATTTCGACTTCCCATACATCCTGGCAAGTTCAGCTAAATGTACACCACTTTCGTATTTTTCTCCAATCTATTTCTTGAATTCTATCATAATTCTCACTTTCTTTACCATAGGGCTGGCACTAGGAGCTTTCTTTGGGCCCATGGTAGCTTATTTCGCAGTTGCAATCAATAAACAAGCACAAAAATTGTGAAATGTTTCAGATGAATGCTCACTCAATCAGTGACAAAGCCAGACTGACGGCATTCCCAGGCGGACAGACGTGTATGATACATACGATTTCTGAATTGAGGTTCAAAAACTGGACCAAAATTTTGCCCAAAAAAGTGTTCTAAATCCGAATTGTACGATATGCAGACCGTACAAAAACCAGAGGTCCACTGTAGTATATTCTTCACTTCATGTACCACAAATTTCCACAAGGTACCAATTTTCAGGAATGTATCCTCGGTGTTATAAGAGAGTTTACAGTATACCTCTTGTTTATTACAAAATTTTAACTTTTGTAATTGTTTCAGATGAAAAGGTCAACAATTTCTTCAGTGAAGATAGTGACCAGTTGACGCACGGAATGGGTAAGATCATTTTTTCTATTACAGAGTTGTATTTAGGCCAGTAAAGATTCATACATTTAAAATCTAACCACTGATAGTTTATGTAAGAGTGTTACTGTGTTCAGAGGTCTTGCATGTGGCAAAATTAAAAATAAATGAAATAAATACAATGAAAAATGCATTTACAATTAAATACCTTGTATATATATTGTGCTAGACTGGGACTGACAGCCTAATGACCCTGAGTTTGATTTTCCATTTTGAGGCATTGTTAACTCCTCTTCCTGGATTCATGGCTGGTCTGCTTTTTACTGGGCTAATTCTACACTTTCTCCCATGTCTTTCACCCCAGTGACTTGTTAAAGTAGTGTGTAGGTTAGGGACCAGGCCTTAAAGTGGCATCCATGTACAGCATAGTATTGACCGTTTTAGTTATATGTACGCTATAATTACTCTGGAGTAGAAATATAGCAGTGATTGCAGGTGCGTGAGTATGATTGTTGATTGGAATCTGGCTGTTGGACGTACACTAAACCCTTAATATAACAGGCTCATGGGGGGAGTATTCAAGTACAGTGGACCCCCGCATAACGATCACCTCCCAATGCGACCAATTATGTAAGTGTATTTATGTAAGTGCGTTTGTACGTGTATGTTTGGGGGTCTGAAATGGACTAATCTACTTCACAATATTCCTTATGGGAACAAATTCAGTCAGTACTGGCACCTGAACATACTTCTGGAATGAAAAAATATCATTAACCGGGGGTCCACTGTATCCATTTAATTAGAATATTGTTAAAGTATAGCAATAAAAGGCACTCAAGGTACTGTAGTACTGTATATGTACCAAATACAGTGGACCCTCACCTAACGATGGCATCACATAACGTTAAATCCGCCTAGCGCTACATTTTAACGCAAAAAATTTGCCTTGCCTAACGCTAAAAAACTCGCTCAACGCAATTCGTCCGAGACGCGTCCATGTGCGGCCTGAGCCAGCCTCACTTGTTCTGCTGGTGGCATTGTTTACAAGCCAGCCTCCGTGGTCACATCCAAGCATACAATCGGAACATTTCGTATTATTACAGCCTTTTTAGTGATTTCACCTGCAAAATAAGTGACCATGGGCCCCAAGAAAGCTTCTAGTGCCAACCCTACAGGAATAAGGGTGAGAATTACTATGGATATGAAGAAAGAGATCATTGCTAAGTATGAAAGTGGAGTGCGTGTCTCCGAGCTGGCCAGGTTGTATAGTAAACTCCAATCAACCATCGCTACTATTGTGGCCAAGAAAACGGCAATCAAGGAAGCTGTTCTTGCCAAAGGTGCAACTTTGTTTTCGAAACAGAGATCACAAGTGATAGAAGATGTTGAGAGACTGTTATTGGTGTGGATAAACGAAAAACAGATAGCAGGAGACGGCATCTCTCAAGCGATCATAAGTGAAAAGGCTAGGAAGTTGCATGAGGATTTAATTAGAAAAATGCCTGCAACTAGTGATGATGTGAGTGAATTTAAGGCCAGCAAAGGTTGGTTTGAGAGATTTAAGAAGCGTTGTGGCATACATAGTGTGATAAGGCATGGTGAGGCTGCCAGTTCGGATCACAAAGCAGCTGAAAAATATGTGCATGAATTCAAGGAGTACATAGACAGTGAAGGACTGAAACCTGAACAAGTGTTTAATTGTGATGAAACAGGCCTGTTTTAGAAGAAAATGCCAAGCAGGACCTACATTACTCAGGAGGAAAAGGCACTCCCAGGACATAAGCCTATGAAAGACAGGCTTACTCTGTTGATGTGTGCCAATGCTAGTGGTGATTGCAAAGTGAAGCCTTTATTGGTGTATCACTCTGAAATTCCCAGAGCGTTCAGGCAAAAGAATATTGTCAAGGCTAATTTGTGTGTGCTGTGGAGGGCAAACAGTAAGGCATGGGTCACTAGAGACTTTTTCTATGACTGGTTACACCTTGAATTTGCCCCCACTGTGAAAAATTACCTAATTGAAAAGAAACTAGACCTTAAGTGCCTCCTGGTGTTAGACAATGCCCCTGGTCATCCTACAGACTTGGCAGAGCGACTTTGTGGGGACATGAGCTTCATTAAGGTCAAGTTTTTGCCTCCTAATACCACTCCTCTCCTGCAGCCCGTGGACCAGCAGGTCATTACAAACTTCAAAAAACTGTACACAAAAGCTCTGTTTGAAAGATGCTTTGTAGTGACCTCAGAAACTCAATTGACTCTAAGAGAGTTTTGGAGAGATCACTTTAATATCCTCAATTGTGTAAACCTTATAGGTAAGGCTTGGGAGGGAGTGACTAGAGGACCTTGAACTCTGCTTGGAAGAAACTGTGGCCACAATGTGTAGACCAAAGGGATTTTGAAGGATTTGAGGCTAACCTTGAGAAGTGTATGCCAGTTGAGGAATCAATTGTGGCATTGGGGAAGTCCTTGGGGTTGGAGGTTAGTGGGGAGGATGTGGAAGAGTTGGTGGAGGAGGACAATGAAGAACTAACCACTGATGAGATGCTAGATCATCTTCAACAGCAAGAGGCCACACCTGAGGAAACTGCTTCGGAGGAGGGGAGAGAGAAATTGAAGAAGTTGCCTACTTCAAAGATTAAGGAAATATGTGCAAAGTGGCTTGAAGTGCAAACCTTTATGGATGAAAATCACCCTCAGACAGCTATTGCAAGCTGTGCTGATGACTATTACACTGACAATGTTGTGAAACACTTTAGGAAAGTCATAAAGGAACGAGAGGTACAGACCTCTATGGACAGATATGTTGTGCGACAGAAGTCCAGTGACTCTGAAGCTGGTGCTAGTGGCATTAAAAGAAGAAGGGAAGTAACCCCAGAAAAGGACTTGACACCTCAAGTCCTAATGGAAGGGGATTCCCCTTCTAAACACTAAGACGATCAACACTCTCCCCTCCTCCCATCCCATCAATCATCACCAGATCTTCAATAAAGGTAAGTGTCATGTAACTGTGCATGTCTTCTTCAGTTTGTGTGTATTAAAATTAATTTTTCATGTGGTAAAAAAAAAACTATTTTCACACTTTTGGGTGTCTTGCACGGATTAATTTGATTTCCATTATTTCTTATGGGGAAAATTAATTCGCCTAACGATAATTTTGCCTAACATTGAGCTCTCAGCAACGGATTAATAGCGTTATGCGAGGGTCCACTGTATATGACTCTACTCGGTTTACAGATTTTTTTTTTTCAATGAACCAGCCATGTCCCACCGAGGTAGCATGACCTAAAAAGAAAACCGAAAGTTCATCTTCTTAAATTTAGTAATGTATACATGAGAAGGGATTACTAGCCCCTTGCTCCTGGCATTTTAGTCGCCTCTTATGACATGCATGGCTTATGGAGGCAGAATTCTGTTACACTTTGCCAAGGAGATAGGAGGAAATAAATAAGAATAAGAGCTGTTAAGAAAATGAAGAAAACCCAGATGGGTATGCATATACGTATACAGTAGACCGTCGTTTAACACGGTAGTTACGTTCCTGAAAATGCCGACAAAACCGTGTTAGACAAACTGAAGAACTTACTGGAAAATAGGGTTAAGTTCCTGGGAGCCCCCAAAAAGCCAAACAAGTTTTTTTTTATATATCTAGATCTTACAAAAATAAAAGGAATATGTACTTGTAGTTCATTGTCATGATGCATTATGTTTTTTGCTGCTTAAGACTACAAATGCAGTAGAAATAACATTTCTTACCTTAAATTGTAGGTGCTGGTGTTTGTGGATGATTGTGAAAAAGTTTAACTTTAAGTCATTCAGTAAGTCAGTCAAGTCATGCAGTCAGTCAGTCAGTCAAGTCAGTAAGTTATTCAGTCAAGTCAGTAAATCAGTAAGTCAAGTCAGTCAGTAAGTCAGTCAAGTCAGTAAGTTATTCAGTTAAGTCAGTAAATCATTCAGTCAAGTCAGTCAGTCATCACACAAACTTAAATTTGCCTCATTCTTTTTGTATACAAAATGACGCTTCATTCCGGCTACAGGCTATCTCTTGTCTAATACATATCTCTATTTTCTTCGTTAATTCTGAGACTTAAATGCTTAAACCTTTTCTTGCAAGTTTCAGCAACACTTGTATGCCTACTGGATGCCACGATTGTTTGGCAGATTTAAGATATGGCAATTAATAAGCATCTAAGCAAACACGAGCGAGCTACTGGCACATGTCGTACCAACACACGTACCGAGCCGAAGGCTGGAGGGTGGTAGAGGTGGCTGATGCTAGCGGGGGATGGCAGTATCCCATCCCACCCCACGGGCAAAAAAGCGCTCAAAAATATTTTCTTCCTGTGACATGTTAAATTAATATTACGGCTGTTCAACAAAAATATGTGCTACAGGTCCGCCATCACAAATCTGGCATCAGACATCCGTGTTCCATCAGTTATTTGGCATAATTTCCAGCTACATAATTTCAAATTTTCCAGGTCGCCACACCAACTGCTGGTACCTTGGTGACGCACCTAACACAGTACATTGTCCATTAAAAATAAGGTGGCTTTGAAGCCACTGTCGGTTGCCATGAGCTCAGTCTCGTGATATAGGGAATATGCTATATTATTACGCTAATATCACCATTACGGCTTATTTGCCTATCACAATTGATCTAATGTGACATAATAAACAATATAAATAACATAAACACATGTTAAATACTCCAGAATAAATAATATTTGGCACAGTACCGAGCAGTTCGACGGAGGTATGAAGAGGATATGGGTTACAAGTGCCATTCTCCTATCCCTGTCTTATATTAGAGGAAACTGAGTATAGCACAGGGCTAACTGTGATATACTCTCGTACTGCACCATAAAACTGAAACAAAAAAGCTATTTTCTCTACATTTATCACACATAGCAGCATATGTGTAGAGAACCTAGGACAACCTAAAAAACTCAGTGGCTTATTTCTAGTACCTAGCTTGGGCTAGCCATATATGATTTTTGGTAAATATTCGATTTCTGGCCAGGGTAGAAACATTGGGC